TCGGGGTCTTCCTGGCTCACGTCTACCACCACGCATGTGACCTCAGGGGTCCGGGAGATCATGAGGGTGTCCTTGGGTTTTGGGGGGAAGAGGAAGACTGACGGTCCCCCCAGGAGTTCAGGTGCTGAGGAAGAGATGGAAGTGGGCATGTCAGCACCCAGGCGGGGCCTGTCCCTGGACGCAGGCCACTCTATGGCACCTGTCCCACCTTGAGCTGGAGGGCGAGGTCTGGGCTAGCTTACCTGGGCACGGTGGGCACGTGGGAGGTTTGCTGCCACCACCACATGTTTTGATCTCTGCAGAGAGAAGATTGGGAGTTACTGGGATCTGGGAGGGGAGGTGTCTGAGCTGAGGGAGTGGAGAATTTGGCCTTTGGGGTGGGCTTAGGTCAGCGACAGGGTTCTCTCAGATATGGCTCTTGGCAGGTCTGAGGACAGCACCTGCCCCTGTGTGTGCAGGGCCTGGGGTAGGGGCATCCAGCCTGTGGCTCCCCAGAGCCTGGTGGAAAAAGCCAGAAGACCGTCTCCCTGAGCATGAGTGGGGTGGGCAGAGGCCTCTGGGTGAGGAGACAGACGGGGCCTGCCCTGCTGCCCTGGGCTGGGGCTGCACAGCCAGAGTTTGTCCAGGTAGAAGGGCCGAGCCTGGCTTCCACCAAACAGCCCCCCTCCCTTGCTGGCCTCTCACCAACTTTCTTGTCCACCTTGGTGTTGCTGGGCTTGTGGTTTACGTTGCAGACGTAGGTCTGGGTGCCCAAGCTGCTGGAGGGCACGGTCACCACGCTGCTGAGGGAGTAGAGCCCTGAGGACTGTAGGACAGCCGGGAAGGTGTGCACGCCGCTGGTCAGGGCGCCTGAGTTCCACGACACGGTCACGGGTTCGGGGAAGTAGTCCTTGACCAGGCAGCCCAGAGCCGCTGTGCTCTCGGAGGTGCTCCTGGAGGAGGGCGCCAGGGGGAAGACCGATGGGCCCTTGGTGGAGGCTGCAAGAGACGTGGCACCATGTGACTGCGGTGTGGGACAGAGCTGGGCCCTGGGCGCAGAGGCCCCTCCGTTCTTGTCTCAGCGAGGGTCCAGTGCCTGAGCTCACGGGCATTGGGTGTGCACCTGGCTGGTGCCACCTGCCTCACCTTGGCCCCCTCCCTGCCCCAAAGGCAAGGTCAGGCCCAGCCTGCCCCAGAAGGCTTGCAGGAGCGGCGGCCCTGTGGTGCTCTTCTGCAGGCACCCCTGCAGCCTAGGAGGCGGGGCTGGGCAGCCGGGTTAGTGCTCTGTGTCTGCAGGGAGTCAGCACAGCCCAGGGCCTCTAGCTTGGCCTCGGCTCTGGCCATCGGTGCCACCTCAGGAACGGCTCATGCCCGTCGGCCCCACTCCAGCCTTTTATGGGTGCCTGGCTTGACCAGTGGCCACTGTTCTCAGAGGGCTTCTCGTGGGTCCCCCGAGGCCCCTGCAGCCCCTGACCATGCCGCCCCAGCGTGGCCCTCCCCTAGTGAGTGGGCCTGACTTGCCCAGGGCCCTGGTCATAGCCTGCCCTCTGCCCTCCAGGGCCCTGTTTTTCTGTGCAGCAGAGGGGCCAGACACTGCATAGGGTCGGCACCCTCAGCCCCAGGGCCCCGGAACCTCCTGCCTTGGATTAGCCCCCTGGGAGCCCCCTCCTCAGCATCTCCCCCCTTTCCCCTTAGCCCCAGTGTGCACCAGCCCAGGTCAGGGCCCTGAGTGCATCGATGCCCCCTGCCTCCCCAGTGTCCTGCATTACTTCCGGAGGCTGAGTCACCACACCCTCACCCTCCCAGCCCTGGCCTGGCCTTCTCGGCCACCAGCCCACCTCCTCCCTCTCTCCAGAGCTTCCCCCGGCAAGGTCCCTGTTGGGCTCAGCCCAGTCCCCCCGGCACAGGTAGGAACCTTGCACCTGCCCTTGGCCCTCCCCACCCTGCATGGCGCCAGGACCCCCAGGCCACAGGGAAGCCCCATTTCTCTCTGCCGCTGGCCCAGTGGCCCTGGAGTCCCACGGCAGGTCAGGTGTGCCCTGACCTCTGAGGAAGCTAAGTGCCCTGCCCCCAGCCAGGCCATCCCCTCTGCTCAGCCCCAGGGTCCTGCTCACTACCCTTCCCCTCACCTGCACCACAGGCTCTGGCTGACTCTGCCCAGGCTGTGAACGGGCCCCTCTGGCTCCACTGTGCTGGTGCACTGCCCTGCACCACCTCCACTCAGCTTCATTGTGCTGGTGGCCCTGGCTCCTGGCAGCCCGTCTTGTTCCTTCTGGAGCGCCAGCCTCAGAGGCCGTCCTGCCCAGGGTCCACTGGGGCCAGCCCTGGTCTCAGCACACGTTCCCCTGCATCCAGACCTGCCCCTGCCTGTGAGCTGAGCCCTGAGCCCTGGAATGCCTTCCCTTCTCCATCCTAGCTTGCCCTTGCCAACTGCTCAGTAGGATGGGCTCACACCCGCTTCCCTGCACCAGGAGGCTGCACTGTGCTTTCACCAGCCCTCAGCTGTCGGCTGCCAGCAACTGCCCAGCTCCTGCCAAAGTGTAGGAGCTGAGTGCTGCCTCCCACCGGCCTGCTCACCTGTGGCTGCTGTCCCTGAGCTCTGCTGCCTGTCCCCTGCTTGTCCTGCCTCCCATCGGCCCTGCTCATCTGCAGCGGGTCTGCCCTGGTCCCCAGAGCTCCAGGAGCTGCTGCCTGCTCCTCCTGTCCCCGACCTGCCCCTGTTCAGCTGCATCTGCTCTGCCCTGGTCTCTTGAGCTCCAAGAGCTGCCCCCTGCTCATTCTGCCTCCCACCTGCCCTTCCTCACCTGCGGCTGCTCTGCCCTGGTCCTCTGAGCTCCAGTGCCTGCCCCTTGCTTCTCCTGATTCCCACCAGCCCGTGCTCACATGCGGGTGATCTGCCTTGGCTCTCTGAGATCCAGGGGCTGCCCACCTGCTCCCCCTGCTTCCCACCAGCCCTGCTCACCTGCAGCGGGTCTGCCCTGTTCCCCAGAGCTCCAGGAGCTGCCGCCTGCTCCTCCTGCCCTGCCCTGCCCCTGTTCAGCTGCATCTGCTCTGCCCTGGTCTCCTGAGCTCCAAGAGCTGCCCCCTGCTCATTCTGCCTCCCACCTGCTCTTCCTCACCTGTGGCTGTTCTGCCCTGGTCCTCTGAGCTCCAGTGCCTGTCCCTTGCTTCTCCTGATTCCCACCAGCCCCTGCTCACGTGCGGGTGATCTGCCTTGGCTCTCTGAGCTCCAGGGACTGCCCACCTCCTCCCCCTGCTTCCCACCGGCCCGGCTCACCTGCAGCTGCTCTGTCCTGGCTCCCTGAGGCTGAGCCTCAGTCCTGCTTACCTTCTGATGCTATCCCCTTGTCCCCTGAGCTCCAGGAGCTAACCCCTACTTGTTCTACCTCCCACCGGCGCCTGCTCACCTGCAGCTGCTCTACCTGGTCCCCTGAGCTCGAGGGGCTGCCTCCTGCTCCTCCTGACTCCCACCTACCCCTGCTCACCTGAGGCTGCTGTGCCCTGTTGCTCTGAGCTCCAGAAGCTGCCCCCTGCTCCTCCTGCTTCCCACCAGCCCCTGCTCACCTGTGGACGATCTGCCCTGGCTCCCGGAGCTCCAGGGGCTGCCCCCTGCTCATCCTGCCTCCCACCAGCCATGCTCAACTTCTGATGCTCTGCCCTGATCCCCTGAGCTCCAGGAGCTGCCCTCTGCTTGCCCACCTCCCCCTGAGCCCTGCTCATCTGCGACTACTCTGCCCTGGTTCTCTGAGCTCCAAGGGCTGGCTTCTGCTCCTCCTGCCTCCTACCTGCCCCTTCTCACCTGCGGCTGCTCAGCCCTGGTCCCTTGAGCTCCAGGAGCTGCCCCCTCCTCTTCCTGCTTCCCACCAGCCCCTGCTCACCTGCAGATGATCTGCCCTGGTTCCCTGAGCTTCAGGGGCTGCCCTCTGCTCCTCCTGCCTCCCACCAGCCCCTGCTCACCTGAGGCTGCTGTGCCCTGGTGCTCTGAGCTCCAGAAGCTGCCTCCTGCTCCTCCTGCTTCCCACCAGCCCCTGCTCACCTGCGGCTGCTCTACCTGGTCCCCTGAGCTCCAGGGACTGCCTCCTGTTCCCTAACCTCCCACCAGCCATGCTCACCTTCTGATGCTCTGCCCTGATCCCCTGAGCTCCAGGAGCTGCCCTCTGCTTGCCCACCTCCCCCTGAGCCCTGCTCACCTGCAGCTGCTCCGCCCTGATTCCGAGTTCTGGGGCCTTCCCCCTGGTCATCCTGTCCGCCACTGGCCCCCGTTCACCTTCAGATGCCCTCCCCCGCTCCCCTGAGCTCCAGAAGCTGTCCCCTACTCCTCCTACCTCCCACCTGCCCTGCTCACCTGAGGCTGCTCTGCCCTGATCCCCTGAGCTCCAGGGGCTGCCCCCTGCTTGTCTTGCCTCTCACCAGCCCTTGCTCACCTGCAGCTGCTGTGCCCTGGTCACCTGAGCTCCAGGGTCTGCCCACTGCTTGTCCACCTCCTACCAGCCATGCTCACCTTCAGATGCCCTCCCCTAGGTTCCCTGAGCTCCAGGGGCTGGCTCCTGCTCCTCCTGCCTCCCACCTGCCCCTTCTTACCTGCGGCTGCTCAGCCCTGGTCCCCTGAGCTCCAGGGGCTGCCCCTGCTTACCCATCTCCCACTGAACCCTTCTTATCTGTGACTGCTCTGCCCTGGCTCTATGAGCTCCAGGGGCTGCCCCCTGCTCGTCCTGCCTCCCACCTGCCCCTCCTCACCTGCGGCTGCTCTGCCATGGTTCCCTGAGCTCCAGGGGCTGCCCCCTGCTTGTCCTGCCTCCCACCAGCCCCTGCTCACCTTCAGATGCCCTCCCCTGGTCCCCTGAGCTCCAGGTGCTGCCTCCTGCTCCTCCTGCCTCCCTCCAGCTCCTGCTCACCTGCGGCTGCTCTGCCCTGGTCCCCTGAGCTCCAGGAGCTGCTCCCTGCTTGCCCATCTCCCACTGAACCCTTCTCATCTGCGACTGCTCTGCCCTGGCTCTATGAGCTTCAGGGGCTTCCCCCTGCGCATCCTGCCCCCTACCAGCCCCTGTTCACCTTCAGATGCTCTGTCCTGGTCCCCTGAGTTCCAGGAGCTGCGCCCTGGTCCTCCTGCTCCCACCTGCCCTATGCACCTGCAGCGGCTCGGTCCTGGTCCCATGAACTCCAATGCCTGCCCCCTGCTCATTCTACCCTCCCTCAACCTGGGGCAGCAACATCACTCAGGCCACTGTTGCCCCCTGCCTGTCCTGGCACCCTGTGTCCAGGTTTGGGCTCTTTTTTCTGGCCTCATTTTTGTTTTTGCGGCACTTGGCTTGTTCCCTACACTGTGGAGCCACCCTGTGTCCAGTCAGGTCTCCCCAGCAGAGCCCCTTGCTCTTTCCCATGTCCCCCTCCTGGATGAGCTCCTGCATCCTCCTGTCCTGGCACTGCTCCTGCTCTGGAAGCCTGTCCATTACTCCCTGTCAGCTCCCTGAACCCATGGAGCCTCAGCTCCTTCTCTCACTCCAGGCCTCCTGTGCTCTGGGCCTCCCTGGACTCTTCCCTTCTCCCACCCATGCACTCAGCACTGCTCTCTCCTCCTGTCCGCTGCTGACCACAGCCCTGCTCCCCGCCAGCAGGTGCCCCAGCCCCATCAGCTGGCTCTGAGCCCAGCCCCTGTCCCTTCCCTGTCCCTGTGTCTGCCTCTGGGCTCCTTCACTTCCACCCTCCCGTGCTGCTGCCACACTCACCCTCCCTGCTCTGCTCCCGGCTCACCTGCTGTCCTTGGTCCTGGCTGAGAAGAGGGCCCCACGGCCAGCACTGCTGACCCTGCCCTGGGCTCCGGTGATGCTGCCGGCCTGGACAAGCCCCTCCGTTCACCTGCGGCCTCTCCTCCTCCCTCGCTCTGCTGTCTCCTCAGCTCAGGTCAGTCCTGCTCATGCTGATACCACCCCATGGCCGGCTCTGCCGCATCCTGTGTGTTCCTCGTGATCCCAGCCCGGTGGTCCTGGAGGCCTCAGTCAGCCTCTAGTGCGTCCTGCCCTGTTGACTGGGAAACCCCTGCCCACGGGCCCCGTCATCTGGCACTGGGTGGGCATCGGTGCCTGAATCCTGCCCACCTCCCGCATGCTGGCTCTGCTTGGGCCTCCATGTGGGGCCGGCCTCGCCCCAGCATCTCCCCAGCCTCTTGCAGCCTGTTCAGCAGCTCAGGTCCAGGAGACCCACGGCTGCCCCCAGGCTCTGTCCTTCTCCTCCCAAGCCTGTGCTCCTGCCCTGTGCTGACCCCACTCATCGAGGTGGGGGTCCCAGCCCTTCCTGCTCCGTCATGGTACATGTGGGCGGCCCCGCCCCCGCTGTCAGCTGCTATTTGTCTTCCTAGGAAATCACAGCTCGGCCCCCAGGTCCCCAGAGGTGGGAACTCCACCCCTGCACCCTGCAAAGACTAAGAACAGGATTGAAACCGGGGGCACCGCTTACTTCCTGAAGTTCCCTTTTCTTCTGGTGCTTTGTGTGTCAGAGGGCGAGGGGGAGTCCAGACACAGCCGAGGCTGCCTCCTGGGTGTGTGGGGATGGGGGTGGTGGGTGCCCCTATACTCATGGGAGAAGGTGGGGAGCCTGGACCTTGTGCGCTGCTCTTTTCTCTGTCTCTGAGTCCCTGGGGCTGGACTGAGACTGGCAGTGATTATGACCATTCTGCCCATGGCCTGAGTCTCTCAATACCTGGGCCTGTCACCTGAGCCTTCTGGCCCCCACTGGGCCCTGGTGGCTGCTTTTGCCTGGGCGTCTCTCCAGGTGGCCCTCACTCATGGTGCAGGGAGGGGAGTGTCAGCCCATCCCGCTGAGCAGCTGGCAAGGGCGAGCTGGGACGGAGAAGGGAAGGCGCTCCAGGGCTCAAGGCTGAGCTCACAGGCAGGGGCGGGTCGGGCTGCAGGGGAAACGTGTGCTTGAGACCAGGAGGTCCCAGGGCTGGCCCAAGTGGGCACTGTGTAGGAAGTCCTCTGAGGCTGGTGTTCCAGAAGGAACAAAATGGGCTGCCAGGGGCCAGGGCCACCAGCTCTGCTCCTGGGGGCCGAGGGGTCGTGGAGATGGATGAACACACTGAAGCTGAGTGGAGGTGGTACAGGGCAGTGTACAAGCAGAGGGGAGCCAGAGGGACCCATTCAGGGCCTGGGCAGACTCGGCCAGAGCCTGTGGTGCAGGTGAGGGGAAGGGGTCGGGGCAGGGCCCTGGGACTGAGCAGAGGGGATGGCCTGGCTAGGGGCAGGGCACTTAGCTTCCTCAAAGGCCAGGGGCACACCCCACCTGCAGTGAGACTCCAGGGCCACTGGACTACCAGCAGAGAGAGAAATAGGGTCTCCATGGTGCTGGGGATGCTGGCACCATGCAGGGTGGGGAGGGCCAAGGTCAGGTGCAAGGCTTCTACTTGTGCTGGGGGAACCTGGACTGAGCTCTGCAGGGACCTTGGCAAGCGGAAACTCTGGAGAGAGGGAGGAGCTGGGCGAGGACGAACGTGGAGGTGCGAGGTAGCAAGGGATGGGATGAGGCCAGAGGACTGGGCAGACCAAAAACCTGAGGAGGTGTCACACAGGAAGTGTCCTGAATGTAACAGGAAGTGTCCGGAATGGAACAGGAAGCATCCAGAATGGAACAGAAAGCATCCAGAATGGAACAGGAAGCATCCAGAGTGTAACAGGAAGCGTCCAGAATGGGCACCTGCAAAGGGGAAATTGTGTCCCTCCCACTAAATGTGCTCTCCACAAGGACCTGGCCCTCACCTCTGTCCCTGCTGGATCCCTGAGCTGGCACCATTCCTGCCCTCAGAGAGAATGTCCAGGAGACAGGTGGAGGTGCACGTGTGGGTCCGTGAGGAAATCCATCCTCCAGCCACCGGCTCCCAGTTGGCTCCCAGTCTCTGGTTCTGGCTTCATGCCATGGAACTCATCACGGGCTCAACCTCCCAGCCTGCGGGAGGATGGAGTGAGGGGCCCCACAATGCCCATGGCACACCCAGGGGGCTGGGGAGACTGCACTGGGCTCGAGTGGGGAGGCCTTATGTCGGCCATGGGGCTGGCAGCTCAGGACAACACTCATATCCCTTAGCTAAGTCCCTGGCAGCATAGCACCCCAGACTGCATGGCTTAAAAAACAGAAGTTTATTCTGTCCTGGTTCTGGAGGCCAGGTATCTGAGATGGTTGGCTTGGTGAGGCTGACTCCTGTGTGTCATGGGAGACTCTGTCCCAGGCTCTCTCCTGGCTGCTGGGCTTTGCCGGCCTTCTCTGCCACTCCTGGCTTGTGGGAGCAGCGCCATCTTCACAGGGCATTCTCCCCACGTGCTGTCTGTGCCCAGATTCCCCCTTTTGATGAGGACAGCAGTCATATCGGGTCAGAGGCTCGCCCTACTCCAGGGTAATCTCATCTGGACTTGATTGCACCTGCAAAGACTCTGTTTCCAAACAAGGTCACATTCTGAGGTCCTGGGGGTTAGGACTTCAACACATGAACAGTTTAACCCATGACAGTTTGCCCTCTGCTCCCCCCATAATCATGTCCTTCTCACATGCAAAATCCCTGCATCCCATAGCAACACCTCCAAGATGGCTAACCCCTTCCAGCACCAACTCTTAGTCCAAAATCTCAAAATCTCAGCTAAATGTCACCTGCATCAAGTGTGGGAGAAACCCAGGCTGAGATTTATTCTGGGGTGAAATTCCTCTCCGTATGTGGACCTTTGTAACTGGACAAGAAGTTATCTGCTTCCAAAGTAGAATGATGGGACAGGCATAGGCTGGACATTCCCATTCCAAAAGGGATACATTGGGAGGGAGAGAGGAGCCATGGGTCCCAAGCAAGCCCAAAACCCAGTAGGGAAAACTGCATTAGATTTTTTTTAAAGAAAACAATATACTTTTATTTTACCTGTTTAAAACATTTTTTATTATTGTTTTTAATTGACACATAATAATTGTATACATTTTGGGGTATATTGTGATATTTGGATACATATATACAATGGGTGATGATCACATCAGGGTAATTAGTATTGGGGGAATGCACCCCCAATATTTCAACATAGGTTCTTTGTGTTTTCCATAATTGTTGGCTAGCTGAGAAATAAAGACAGACAAATAAAGAAATAAAAAGAGAGGAATTTTACAGCTGGGCTGCCGGGGGTGACGTCACGTATCGGTAGGACTGTGATGCCTACTTGAGTCTCAAACCAGCAAGTTTTTTGTTAAGGGTTTCGAAAAGGGAGGGAATGTAAGAACGGGGAGTAGGTACAAAGATCACATGCTTCAAAGGGCAAAATCAGAACTACTAATAAGGGTCCAACAACGATCACATGCTTCTGAGGGAACAGGACAAAGGGCAAAAGCAGAACTACTGATAAGGATCCAACAAAGATCACAAGGCAAAGGGCAAAAGCAGAACTACTTACAAGGGTCTATGTTCAGCAGTGCAAGTATTGTTTTGATAAGCATCTTAAACAACAGAAAACAGGGTTCGAGAGCAGAGAACCAGTCTGACCACAAATTTACCAGGGCTGAGTTGTTCCCCACCCTAATAAGCCTACTGCAGCAGATGAAGGTGTATCTCAGTCCTTATCCTAACCGCATAAGACAGACATTCCCAGAGCGGCCATTTATGGACCACCCCCCAGGAATGCATTCCTTTTCTAGGGTATTAATATTAATATTCCTTGTTGGGAAAAGAGTTTAGTGATATCTTCCCTACTTGCACATCCATTTATAGGCTCTCTGCAAGAAGAAAAATATGGCTCCTTTTGCCCGACCCCACAGGCAGATAGACCTTATGGTTGTCTTCCCTTGTTCCCTAAAAACTGCTGTTATTCTGTTCTTTTTCAAGGTACACTGATTTCATATTGTTCAAATGCACATGTTTTACAATCCATTTGTACAGTTAACACAGTTATCACAGTGGCCCCGAAGTGATGTACAGCCTCAGCTTATGAAGCTAACAGGATTAAGAGATTAAAGTAAAGACAGGCATAAGAAATTATAAAAGTATTATTTGGGAACTGATAAACATCCATGAAATCTTCACAATTTATGTTCCTCTGCTGCGGCTCCAGCTGGTCCCTCCATTCAGGGTCCCTGACTTCCTGCAACAATTAGCATATCCATCACCTCAAACGTTTATCACTTCTTTGTGCTGGGAACATTCAAAATCTGCTCTTCTAGCCATATGAAAATATACAATAAATTGTTGTTAGTTATAGTCACCCTGTGGAGTTAGAGAACACCTGGACCTATTCTGCCTAGCTGACTGTAATTTTGTATTTATTAACCAACCTCTAGCTATCCCCATCCGGTCCCATTCCCAGCCTCTGGTTACCACTATTCTACTCCCTATTTCTATGAGATCAACTTATTTAGCTTCCATATGTGAGTGAGAACATGTGGTATTTGACTGTCTGTGTCTAGCTTTATTTCACTTAACATGTCCTCCAAGCTCATCCATGTTGCCTCAAATGACAAGATTTCATTCCTTTTCATGGCTGAATAGAATTCCTCTGTGTGTGTGTGTGTGTGTGTGTGTGTGTGTGT